TATATATATATATATTTTGTTTCTCTGTTCATATCTGTATATCTGTCTACCTATGTGTCTATGTCTGTTCATATATATCTGTCTATTTATCTGTTTGTTCATATCTATCTGTTTCTCTTTAGATATCTCTCTATCTATGTATAGGTCAATCTATATGTCTGTCTGTCTGTTCATATCTGTCTACCTATTTATGTGGATCTGTTTGTTATCATTTTATCATTACTTATGATTTAACCAGACGTTTGAGAAACTCTTGATAGCACATTCCATCAAAGGTTGTCAGTCCGTAACTATTTTTTCCTTGAAATAATGCTTCTTTACTTCATATTTATACGAATGTGTTTATATCATGTATAGAGTCATTCATTCATACATTCCAATCAACATAAGCGCACACACTCACGCACACAGATACACTATCGTTCAAAAGTTTGAGTAATGTTTGAAATTGTCCCAAAAAGCAGTTGTTTTGTACTTTAAATAAAAGAAAATTATTATACATGGTTTTAAAAAAAAAGCGAGACATGATTTTTATTAGAAATTTTTGACAAAAGAGAAAAACATATTATGATTAAATTTTGCTCTCGTCAAAATATTCTTCTTCATGCTTGATTAGGGCAGTACAAATTTTTGACATTCGTTGCAAAGTTTCTCAAAGCATAAGTTTCATAATTGATTCCATTTTTTTTTTCAATGACTCTAAGAGATCTTTTTACATTTTTTCACTCTTCGATCAAGTTCGTCCCATGCTAATTATTTATATATATATATATATATATATATATATATATATATATATATATAGGCTATTGCTGGGTCTTTAATGTATTTTCAATATATTTCTCCTCTTTGTGTAAATATTGAGGGCTGCAAATTCTAAGTGCTCTTAAATAGAATTCGATAATTATTCTGCATTTCACTTTGTTTCGGATTCTCCTTAAGAGCTCTTAAGAATAAATTTATAAAAGATCATTATATATATATATATAAATATATATATATATGTGTGTGTGTGTGTGTGTGTGTGTGTGTGTGTGTGTGTGTGTGTGTGTGTGTGTGTAATGTATTTAAAAATATATTAGATTGGTAAAAAGTCTCCATGAAATATGTGACAAAGTCTTTTATTCACATGACTTTAGAGCATAATTATTCAGCGAGAAATATAGTTTCCATTCATCGGAACTTGTCTATAGCTTTATTTCAGATCGCTGTAAAAGTGTTTAGTATTTTGCAGTTGTAGACCTTATACATATGAATTCATAGCGGCATTATTCAGTCATTAAATTTATTTCTTTGGAATTTATTCATCATCTGTCATCTTTCAACTCATCCGTTTATTTCAGAATATTCAGATGATGAAAAAGTTACCGACATTTTTTTTTAAAATACTTTCATACTTCTAGAATCATAGCCTCTTTGATCAGACATCAAAATAATTTCCTTGCCTTTCTAGCAACTTTTTTTCACTTTAAATATAACTTTAAATAGATAGATAAAATAGATAGATAGATAGATAGATAGATAGATAGATAGATAAGAAACAGATAAATAGATATATAATTAAAAAAGATATATATATTTGAAAATATATAATATAGATAGATATAGATAGATAGATATAGATAGATAGATAGAGATAGATAGAAATTAAATAGATAAGAAAAAATAGATAAAGATAGAGATAGATAGAAAATGGATGGAAAAAGTATTAGATGGATAGATAGATGGAGATGGAAAATAGATAGATAGATAGATAGATAGATAGATAGATAGAAGACAAATAGATAAGAAAGATAGATTAGATAGATGGATAGATAGATGGATAGAAGATGGATAGATACAAAAATGGACAAATAGATAAGAAAAATATTAGATAGATAGATAGATAGATGGAAAGAATAGATAGATGGATAGATAGATAGAGATAGATGGATAGATAGATAGATAGACAGATAGATAGAAATAGATAGATAGATAAGAAATTGGATGGAATGGATAGATAGATAGATATTGATAGATGATAGATAAATTAAATAGATAGTATTAGATAGATAGATAGATAGATAGATAGGATAGAAATAAATAGATAGATAGATATCAAGAAGATAGATAGATAGATAGATAGATACAGAAATAGATAGAGAAATAGATAAGGATGGATTTTATTAGATAGATAGATAAGATAGATATTAGATAGATGAAGAGATAGATAGATAGATAGAAAGAAGAAGATAAGAAAGACAAATAGATAAGAAAATATTAGATAGATAGATAGATAGATAGATAGGAAATAGTATTAGATAGATAGATAGATAGATAGATAGATAGATAGATAGATAGATAAAGAAAAAGACAAATAGATAAGAAAAGTATAGATAGATAGATGAATAGATAGATATATAGATAAGAAAGATAAAAATAGTATAGATAGATAGATAGATAGATAGAAATAGATAGATTTTTAAAGTTTTAGATAGATAGATAGATAGATAGATAGAATTTAATAGACAAATAGATAAGAAAAATTAGAAGAAGAAAGTCTATTAATAGATAATAGATAGATAGATAGATAGATAGATAGATAGATAGATAAGAAAGACAAATAGATAAGAAAAAGTATTAGATAGATAGATAGATAGATAGATAGATAGATAGATAGATAGGAAAGAGTATTAGATAGATAGATAGATAGATAGATAGATAGATAGATAGATAAGAAAGACAAATAGATAAGAAAAAATAGATAGATAGATAGATAGATAGATAGATAGATAGGAAAGAGTATAGATAGATAGATAGATAGATAGATAGATAGATAGATAAGAAAGACAAATAGATAAGAAAAAGTATTAGATAGATAGATAAGAAAGAGTATTAGATAGATAGATAGATAGATAGATAGATAGATAGATAAGAAAGACAAATAGATAAGAAAAAGTATTAGATAGATAGATAGATAGATAGATAGATTATTTTTATTAGATAGATAGATAGATAGATAGATAGATAGAGAGATAGATGAGAAAGACAAATAGATAGACACAGATAGATAGATAGATAGATAGATAGATGAGATGCATGGATAGATAGATAGATATGATAGATAGACAAATAGATAAAGAAAGACAAATAGATAAGAAAATATATTAGATAGATAAGAAATTAGATTAGATAGATAGAGAGATAGATAGATAGATAAATGAATAGATAGATAGATAAGAAAAGACAAATAGATAAGAAAAAGTATTAGATAGATAGATAGATAGATAGATAGATAGATAGATAGATAGAATAACCAGAAAAACTGACTTCGACTGATAGTTTTGGTTAGTTTTGGCCGTCCCCTCATTAGTAGACAAGACGATAAGTCTTTTTCAGCGTTTCAAATCTCACCATTCTTTAGCTTAGCTCCATTCCAATACTATTTTTTAATGTCTTGATTTGCCCTTGTTATCTCATTCCTCACTTGTGAAATTAACTCAGCCAATTCCTCCTCTCCTTCCTTCTCCTCCCCTTCCACCTCCTCCCACTTCCTCTTCTTCCTTCTTCTCCCTTCCTCCTCCTTATCCTCCTTCTTCTTCTGCCAATTTCTTCTTCTTCTTCTTCTTCTTCTTATTATTATTATTATTATTATTATTATTATTATTATTATTATTTTCCCTTTAGCCATAAAGGTGATAATAATTATCTTTTCTTCAATTTAATTTTTGGGTTTATTTATATTATTAACCTTGTTTTCTGTTTATTATTATTATTATTATTATTATATTTAGATTCTGCTATGGTCACATTACCTACCAAGTCTGGGTGGAAGACCTATGGTAGGTAGTCGTGTGTTGTTATAGCTACATACCACAATTTGTTTTTCCAACTTCCATAACATCACTAGCGTTATATGGGCAAAGTTCTTCTTAGCGTGTGGGCTGTACTTATCAAGACAATTTTTTGTACTTTTCATAAGCTGGGATTTCAAGGAATTCTTTCAATGTGTTGTTGTGTTCCTTTTTTATCATTCCAAACGCACCTACTATGACTGGTACTATTCTTGTTTTCAATTTCCACATTTTTTCGATTTTGATTCCTAGGTCTTTCCACTTCGATAACTTTTCAAATTCCTTGCTTGCAATGTTACAGTTCGCTAGGTAAGCCATGTCATTTAGTAAGCCTTTTTTCTTTTCAGTTCTTGACAATTATGTCCGGCCTATGTGCTTCAATCTGTTTGTCTTTAAAGATGGTGTAATCCCATAGAATTGTGATGTCTTCTATTTCAGTAACCGGTGCTGGGTGATGTTCATACCAATGTTTATTAACATCTTTTCCAAAGTGTTTGCATATTATCCAGTGTAAGTATTGTCCCACTCTATCGTGAAGATTTTTATATTCATTTGGCACAAGTAAAGAACATCCTGAGATTAGATGGTCTATGGTTTCCTGATATTTGTCGCAGAACCTGTATTTTGGATCCATACTATTATGTATGATATTTGCCTGAAAGTTTCTATTGAAAAGACTTTGGTCTTGCGCTGCAAGAATAAAGCTTTCCGTTTAAGCCTTTAATCCATGCTCGTAACCATCGATTGTTAAATCAACATCGGATTTATTGTTCGTTCTGGATATTGGCCATACAGAGGTTTGTCTTGCCAGCATTGTTTCATCTGTTCAAGAGTTTTATGCTTGGCTTTCTTTTTCATAATTTTTGCTGCAACATTTGTTTCTTGGTTTCTGTTTTGGTTTTCTACAGAATCTACTAAATGTAAATCTCGTTTGTATTTACAACTTTCTTTCATGATTGAATATTTTTCTGTTTTCGTGTTGTTTGACTAATTGTATCATCCAGTCCTTTGTTGTTTCCATGTATGTTAGTAAGCCATTAGTTGTTGTCTTGTATGACAATTCTAGCTGAATAAGAACTCTTTCATCTTCTTTACGGGGTCTGTATAGATGGTCCGCATCAGTTTTTGGGTGATGCATGTTATGCTTAGTAAGAAGCTTTCTTGTCTTTGAATCTATTCGTTTGATATCATTTAGAGTTCAGTTCAAGATGGTGAAACTATATTGCACCACTGGGATGGTAAGGCTATTAATGGCTATAATTCTGTTCTGAGAATTCCGTTCAGTTCTTAATATTAGTCGCACCCTTCTATAGTACTCTTTTCGCACTATTTCTTTCATTTTTTATGGTGAATGTCTTCACTCTCAATTACATCTACGTACTGATGAGCTTCTTCTTCTAAATCGTTGATTGTTACCCTAGGTTTTAAGCTAATAGAGGAGATTTGTTGTAGGGAACTTCGTAAAATTGTGGCTTTAGCACATTTATCCAAACCGAATCAACATCGGCGTTATTAGCAACTTCTAGATATTGACCATATAACGGTTTGTCTTACCAGCTTTGTTTCATCATCAAAAGCTTTATTGGTTTTCTTTTACATACGCTTAGAAAGAATCTTTCTTATCTTAGAATCGAGTCATCTATTATCATTTAGGGTCCAGTTCAAGATGAAACTACATTGAACCACTTGGATGGCAATGGTTTTAATGGCCATAATTCTGTTCTGAAAATTCAATTCAGTGCTTAACATCAGTCGAACCCTTCATTTTCGCACCATTTCTTTCATTTTCTTTTTTTATGATGAATTCCTTCACTTTCATTTACACCGAGGTACTTATAAGCTTCTTCTTGTTCTAAATCTTTGATTGTTACCCCAGGGTTTAAGCTAATAGAGGAGGTTTGTTGTATTGATCCTCGTAAAATAGTGGCTTGAGCACATTTATCCAAACCGAATTCCATTCCAATGTCATCACGGAAATATTTTATTGTTTTCAGGAAACCTTCCAGTTTACTATTATTTCTGGCTTACAACTTTAAATCATCCATGTAAAATAAATGGCTTATTTTATTTTGAGATATAGCCATATTCCTTCTTGTTAAGTTCGTTGGATGATGCTATTAGGGATATAAAAATAGTAAGGGAGACAAACAGTCACCTTGAAATATTCCTCTTTTGATGTCTATTTCACCAGACTTATAGACACCATTTATATGATTGAGTTTTCTTTTCCATATCGTCAAACTTTAATGAAACTGATGATGATGGGTGATAACCTGTATATATTTATAGACTTTAAGATCCAAGAATGCCTTACAGTGCTGAGGGGCTTTTTTTGTATTGAAACAGTTTTCCAATATCATCCTATTAATTAGTAATTGATCTTTACATCCATAAGAGCCACGTTTGCACCCTTCTTGTTCAAGAGGTAGTATGTCATTTTTTTTCTAAGAAGGAATATATTTGTTTTGTCAGAAAAGATGTCAAAGGTTTGTAAGTAGTGGGAAGACATGTAATTGGTCTATAGTTTTTGGGGATATTTGTGTCAGCATTTTTGGATAGAATGAAGATAATTGATAATGATGCTTTTCTGGGGTTTGGGCAACGCTTCATAGAATGCAGTCATGAAGTTTTACCTTTTCTTTCTTTAAAGGAATGGTTGTGGATCTAGTTGGAGAATTCGCAGGGCCATCATTGGCATAATCCAGGTTGTGGGGACCCGAAGATTCTTTATTTGTGTAGGAGTTAGTTCCTGAGGCAGATTTTTCAATCTCAGGTAGATTCCCTCCTGACGGACGGACCCCTCTTTATCCACTGGAAGAGCCATACTGGACTTTTTGACTTTCAGTTCTGAAACTGTTCCCACGAGTAGCGCACGTGTCCAAAAGTCCATATATATATGTCCTCTTCTTCTGATAATGTAAATCAGAGAACGTTTCAAATGCAGGTATATCACTGCATAAGCTGGATGCAGGTTCGAACTCTGTAAAAAGGCACATTTTCTTTATTAAGACTCTCGAATTCCCAGGCCGTTAAACGTTGATTGATTTGGTTTGGTTTATTTTGTTTTACGGCATATCTCAATGGGTTATTTAATGCCGAAAAGATTTTTTTTTTTAAATGTATAGCTGGTAATAATTTTTCTTCAAAAATTTATTGCTGGTAATATTTTTACAAAGTATTTCTGGGATTAAATCCCACTTTTACAATTTCATAGTGTTTTGACCACAGTTTGGGAGTTAACTGTTTCCCCATAGCTGGGACCCTAACAGGTGCTACCACTCCAGGTCAGGGTGGACTTGTGAACACCGGCAATTAAGAGGTGGTTCCACGCTCCTCAAAACCTCTTGATCTTGCTGTTGGACGTTTTTTATCGTCTTACCCAGAACGCGGATGTAGTTTATCGTCATACTCAGGACGGTTAGGCGTTGCATTAAACTGGTTAAAAACAAGGGAGGTCTACTCAAACACGTGCATCCAGTAAATGTAAACAATGCGGAATAATGTCGGATTATAAATAAAATCCATTATTTTTTTTGTTTAGGTTTCGCACACAAAAACAAAGTTTGTAAATATGAGTTTCGTAACGTCCTAACGGAAGATGTGCATTCTAAAAAAAAGGTGTAAAAACTTGCGTTCGTGCGAAGTCTTTCGTGACTGAGCTGTCTAAAAATACATCTGATACGAAAATGGTTCCGCCACTATGAAGAGGACTCTACCGAAAAGCATTTTTCCAATATTAAGAATCTCGAATTTCCAGGCCGGTAGACGTTGAATTGCACAGTTTAAAAATCAGAGAAGTCTACTCAAAAACGTGTATCCATGAGGTGTTGCATGTATATTATTGAGAAATAATGTCGGATTATAAATAGAAGTTATTAATTCTTTAGAAATAACTTTGTTTTGATTTGAAGACAAAAAAATAAAATTCGCAAATATAGATTTTGAAGAATACCAACAGGAGACGTTGATTTCTTAAAAAGGGCGAAACGGATTCGAACCCTACCAGAAAGCACGCCTCGAATTTCCAGGCCGGTAGATAAAATATTTATTTTTGTAAGTCAAGCTTTCAATCAAAATCAAATCTTGATTTGTAGCAGCGGACGCAGATTCGCAAGTGTAGACTTTAACATGTCCGTTATCGGTGTCTTTATTGTACGTCTGTATCAGATTGCCGGCGACCTTAACAAAAGAAATACGGGGGCAAATCTGCTACTTTTTGCTGCGAGAAAACATCAACAACTGCCAAAGCATGGAAAAATAGCGGCAAAAACATTCAATTTTCGGGACACCTGACATTGCCCATGGGTTGCAGTGGTTGAAGGATTATTATTTTACGCTACTTTTCTGTTTTGTTTAAGAATGCTCAAAACAAAATCAATTCGCGTCCAAATAGATTAAACACAAAAAGAAGATACATCCATAGGCGTCGCCAGAAGATCCTAGTGATGATGTAGGCTAGGAGTAGGCCCCTGAAAAAAAAAGTTAATTTACTGATAATATACTGAAAAAAAAAATGTTGCCACTCTAGAAGCCATTAGATTTGCTTTTTTTCCTATTCGCCTTTGGATTGCTGCATAGAATTAACTTTACGTTGATAGGTTTACGAAGAGAAAAAGTAATGAAGAAAAGTTGATCGGTCAGGGCAAATGGCGGAACATAACAAAAGCGCGCGAAAACAATCGGGTGGATAAAGAAAGAAGGTAACTTGAAGTAGCAAAAAGAAGATGAAAAAGAAGAAATTCGCGTTGAAGAAAAATGGGAAGGCGAAGATATAGGGTTAGACATTCAAGCGTTTGAACAAAAAAAGAAAACGTTAGTGAATGAGTTGAAGAAATAAAAAAAGAGCAGAATACGGAAGAGGAAAAAAAGAGGAAGAAGCAAAGGAAGGAGGGGAGGGGATGAAATAAAATTATTTAAAAAAAATGAAAGAAAGATAGTAAGAAAGCGGTGAAGGAAAGAAAGAAAAAACCGATGACAAATGAAAAAAGAAAGAAACAGAAAAAAAGATAGAAAGAAAGACAATGTGAAAAAATAGAATGACGTAAGAAAGAAAAGATAAAAATAGAAAATAAGATTGAAGAAAGAAAGAAAGAAAGAAAAACGAAACAAATAATAGATGAAGAAGATACAAAACAGTAAAAGAAAAAAAGAAACAGAAAGAAAGACAGAAAGAGAAAATAGAAAAAGGATAGAAAGAAAACAGTAAAGAAAGAAAGAAAGAAAGAAAGAAAGAAAGAAAGAAAGAAAGAAAGAGGAGCGGGTCAGGGAAAGGAAAAGAAAAAGAAAAGTAGAAAACTAAGAAAGAAAGAAAGAAAGAAAGAAAGAAAGAAAGAGAAAAAAGGAAAAATATTCAATGGTAAAAGAAAGAAAGAAAAAGCAGAAAACAGATGAAAAAGACAGAAAACAGTAAAGAATGATAAATTGAAAAAGAAAAAAAAGAAAAAGTAGATAGAAAGATAGAAGGACAACGAGAAAAAAGACACAAAAAAGAAAGAAAGAAAGAAAGAAAGAAAGAAGAAAAGAGAAAATAAAAGAAAGAAAGAAAGAAAAAAAGAAAAAATAAAAGAAAGAAAGAAAGAAAGAGAAAATAAAAGAAAGAAAGAAAGAGAAAATAAAAGAAAGAAAGAAAGAAAGAAAGAAAGAGGAAATATAAAAAAGGAAAGAAAATCAATGGTAAAGGAAAGAAAGAAAAAACTGAGAACAGATGAAAAACGAAAGAATACAAAAATGAAAGATAGAGAAAATAGAAAAAAAGACAGAAAGAATGTAAATTGGAAAGAAATGAAAGAAAAAACAGATGACAGATAAAAAAAGAAAGCAGTGTAGAAAGAAAGAAAGAAAGAAAGAAAGAAAGAAAGAAAGAATACCTGAGGGACGATAGCCAATGAAGCGACAATTGAATTTGTACACAAGCCAACCACACCCTTTTCTCTCTCTCTCTCTGTCCCCGTTATTTAACCCCCTCACACGTTCGTTGAAATCTTCTTACCCCGCCACTCAACGCCCCAAATCTTCCTCACTACATCTGGTAAAATGGAAGGAGCAAATGTCGGCCTCATTGTAAATTGAAAATTCGTTTAAGCAAAGGGTCTGTAGTTATGAATTTCATTTCTACTTCAAATTAGCCTGACTTGACTTCCTGGCTTGGCCTTGTCGAAAATATGAAGGCAAAGGAAAGAGATTTGGCAAACGAATGCTTAGAGAACGTTTTCAGAGAGCCACAGAGGCGGAGGGTTAATAGTAATCTATTGACACGCGGACTAAATTGGCTGACAGAATTGAAGTCCTCTGTCTGTTTTGCGTATTAGAAACGACTTCTGTCTGCACCAGACCCTGTTGTCTTGATAAAACAGAGCACCTCTTGAGGAAGGAAAAAGAAAGAAAGAAAGAATGAATGAATTGCGAGTGGGTGAAAGGTGAAGTTTGAAAATAGAAAAAGAATCCAAAAGTAGAATAGCAAGGAGGAGGAAGACGGAGAAGGTGAAGTGGAGAATAAGTAAGAGGAGGAGTATAGGGGGGGAAAAGAGAAAACGAAGAGGGGGAAATGGAGGATGAAATAGAAGAGGACGAGGGAGTAGAAGTACAAGATAAAAGGAAGGTGAATATTGAGAAGAGGAAGTAAGAGGAGAAAAAGAAAAGGACAAGGAAAAGGTAGAAGAGAAGTAAAAGAAAGGAGAGGTGGGATAGAAGCTAGAGAGTAAAGAGGAGGTGAAACAGAAGAAAGAGGTGGAAGATAAGAAAAAGAGGGAAGAGAAGCAAGAGAAGCAAGAAGGGAAGGGAGACGTGGGAGAAAAGTAAAATGAGGAAGAGAAGAGAGAGAAGGAAGAAGCGCAAGAGAAGTAAAGGAAGGAAGAGGAGAAAGAAGACGTGGAAAAGAAGTAAAAGGAGGAAGAGAAGCAAGAGGAGAAGGAAGAGGTGGAAGAGAAGTAAAAGAAGGAAGAGAAGTAAGAGGAGAAATAAAAAGAGGGACAGGAGTAGAAAGAGGTGGAAGAGGGAGAAAAAGATTAAAGGAAGTGGGTAGTATAAGGAAAAGAAAGGGAAAGGAAATATAGAGTTCATGAGGAAAGGAGGAAGAGATTGTAAAGAGGAAAGATACGAGGATGATGTAAAATGAAGGGAGAAAAAAGCGGGAGAGTGATGGCAAGTTGGTACAAATGGTGAAGAAGTAGACAGAAAGAATCGATAAAAAAGAGAAGAAACGAAGGAGGAGAAGCGGCTAGAGAGAAAAGAGAAGAAAAATTAGCAAATAAGTAATTGGCAAAGGAAACAAAAAGAAAAAGAAGAAGAGAGAGAAAGAGAGATGGATAGAAAGAAATAACAAGAAGAAGAAGAAGAAGAAATTGGCAAATGAAAATAATAAGCAAAGAAGAAAAAACAGGGTAGAAATAAAAAGAAATTGGTAAACTAAATAAGAAAAGCAAAAAAGTATCATAGAAAAAACAAAGAAGAAGAAGAAGAAATTGGTAGAGGAAAAGAAGAAGAAATTGAAAAACGAAAAGAAGAAGAAATTGAAAAACATTTGAGTCAAATAATTCATGTAAAGTTTTGGTCGACGACATAAAAAAAAATGATTTCTTTATTTTAAACGTGGAAAGACAAATAATAATTGCTTCCCTTTCTAATTTCTCGTCGACATCTTCCCAATTTACGTTGGAGATGGCGTTCATTTTGGTGAGTTGGTAAACGCGCCTGACACGAGAAGCAGGTTGTTGGGGTTGGAGTGGCTTAGCCTAAGAAAAATCCCGGCATCAAAGTTCGAGTGGAGAAGGTGAGAGGGCCGGCAAATCCCACTGCGCAAAAATAAAAGTATGTTGGATGGCGGAGGGCAAGGTGGAGGCCAAAAGGAGGTTATATCTTCAGAGAAAAGGCTATGACACTGAAATTATACTCATTCAAAAGGGCCTTCTCCCGTTTCGCCTGCTACCCGCCCTAAAAACGCGTCTCTCTGAAATTCATCAACTGCTAATTCTTTCCCGTGCAATACAGAATGTGTTGAAGGAATGAAATATTATTATCGTCGCTACCAAAATGTCCACCCGCCGAGATCCTAAGGTGGTAGAAGCCAATATGTGTTTTCGGTTTGGGCTTGCGTGTGGAGAAAGCAGAGAACGGAGAGTGTTATGAGATTTTCAGGAACCGGGGAAAAGGAGAGTCAAGTTGAAATAAAAAGGAGAGTAAGGAGTACTGAAAACAGGACGAGCAGGCCGAGAAGGAAGAAGAGTCATAGGATGAGGAAGGTTTTAATTGTGTCATTGAATGTCGTCGTCGCTGTCATCGTCGTCGTTTTTCGATTGTTATTGCTTTTCTTCAAGTGGGTTTTTTAAATCACGAATGCCCATTGAGTTTGGGGCGATATAAAGAAAGAAGCAAGAGAGATAAAGAGTGGGGTGATTGGAAAAAGACACAGATTAAAGATAAAAATGAAACAAATAGATAGATAGATAGATAGATAGATAGATAGATAGATAGATAGATAGATAGAAACAGACTGAGATAGATATGAACAGACTGAGATAAATAGCTATAAACAGACTGAGATAGATAGATAGATAGATAGATAGATAGATAGATAGATAGATAGATATAAACAGACTGGGATAGATATGAACAGACTGAGATAGCTATAAACAGACTGAGATAGATAGATAGATAGATAGATAGATAGATAGATAGATAGATAGATAGATAGATAGTGAACAGATTGAGATAGATATGAACAGGGAAATATAGACAGATAACTAAGGATAGATAGATAGATAGATAGATAGATAGATAGATAGATAGATAGATAAGCTTTCTTAGAAAGGAAGGAGATTAAAAAATAAATATTTTCTATTTGTTTCCTCATTAGACTGCCGGCTTTATTGATGTCGGCCTCTATCGGATATTGAAGGATTTATTGATGAAGTTGAGTCAGTTATTCAAATGCGATACGCTTGGCCTTCCGTAAGAATCGTCACTTAAAATCGAATAAACTGGAAAACACTCTACTGACGATGTAGGCAAAAGCATATTTACAAGTCCCCAAGAGCACCCTAGTTCTCCCCCCTTTATCTATCACTTTATTTCCCGCCTCCTCTTTCTATCTGATTTAATCTTTCTTGTGTGGACTATCTATCTTTCTCTTCTTACCATCTCTCTCTCTCTCTCTCTCTCTCTCTCTCTCTTCTCTCCCCTCTTCTCGCAATGTAATTTTCTTTTTTTTTTTGTTGCATTTTTTCTCTCTCGTTCTCTTTCTTTCTCTAACCCCTTCTTTACTTTCTCCTTTTTGGCCTTCTCTTTCTATCCAGCTCTCTATATGTCTCTATCACTTTCTCTCTCTCGCTCGATGTTTCTATCCATCTCGCTATCTCTCTCCATCTCCTTCCCTCTCTTTCTTTCTCACTCTCTTTCTTTCTCTCTCGTTATCTCTCGCTGTCCATCTCTCTATCTCTCTTTCTCTCTCTCGTCATCTCTCTCTCTATATATATATATTTCCATCTCGCTCTCTCTCCATATATATATATATTTCTCTCTCTCACTCTCTCTCTCTCTCTCTCTCTCTATCTCTCTTTCTCTCTGTTTTTAAGTTTTGAACTTTTCTATCTCAGTCTATCTCATCCTCAATTTTCTCATCATTTTCCACCTCTCTCTCTCTCTCTCTCTCTCTCTCTCTCTTTATCTCTCATATCTTTATGTTTTATTGCTCTTTCTACTTTTCTCTCTCTTTCATTCTATCTCTCTTTTGTTTCATCTCTCTCCCCTTCTTTTTTTCTGTTTATTCTTTTTTTCTAACTATTCTCTCTCTTCTTCTCCAGCCTTCATGTATTTACCTTTTATCTCTCTCCCTTCATTCGACTGCGCGCTCTCTTTCCCCCTATCTATCTATCTATCTATCTATCTATCTATCTATCCCATCTCTCTCTCTCTCTCTCTCTCTCTCTATATATATATATATATATATATATATATAGATAGATAGATAGATAGATAGATAGATAAAGTGACTACAGTGCCAATCTGTGCGGAACACTGTGGTTACATCTATCTATCTATCTATCTATCTATCTATCTATCTATCTGTTTCTATCTAACTATTTCTATTCATATTTATCTATGTTTATATCTATCTATGACACTCTCTGATCCGTTATCCTCTCTCCTTTTTCTTCCCTCTTTCTTTCTTCACATCTTTCTCTGTCTCTTTCATGTCTTGATTTGTCTCTCTTCTTATCCTCTTCATATTGCTCTCCCTCATCCCTCTCTCCCTCTCAGCCTCTCTCTCTCCCTCTCACTCTCTCTCACTCTCCTGCCTCTCATCTTTTTGCACTTGCTTCTCTTTTCCCATTCTCTCTCCATCCATTTTACTAAGACCTTATTTATTGTTCTGTTCTTCTCTATTCCTTTTTTTTTACCAAGTAAAGTCGGGTCAGAGGTTACAGCCACGTTATCCCCACAATAGAGTGTAATGAATCTTTGATTTGTGACTAAAAGAATATGACAACAGGACCCAGAGACCCTTCCTCCGGCACACGTACGAAAGTATGTGTGCGTGTGTGTGTTTTATTTTAATGGCGTTTTTTCTTATGTCAGGCGCTGGTAAAAGACTCTATCACCGGTTTCACACTGATAGAATTTCTCTCCCCGCTTTAACGCACGTACACATTCTCTCTCTCTCTCTCTCTCTTCATTTTTATCTGTCTCTCTCTCTCTCTCTCTTTCTCTCTCTTCCTTAAATTTCTGTCTTCCTTCCTTCTTTACCGTCTCTCTCTCCTCCACAAAACTCTCTCTTCTTTCTTCACTCTTTCCACTTTTCTCTCTCCTTCGCCTTAACTATATTTCTCTCTTTCCTCCTCCTTTACTTTCTCACTCTGTCTCTTTTTCTTTCTCTCTCTCTGTCTCTCTCTCTCTCTCTCATTCTACTTTGCCCTTTCCAATCCCTCCTATCATACCAGGTTTCCTTGCCCATACCTGTGCAGCCAACACGCGCCGTTTATACCCCAGTTGTCCGATTTGATCGCCCAAGGTCAAACATCCTGGTTCCTAGTTGAAACAGAATAATAATAATAATAATAATAATAATAATAAAGGCAAAAGAGAAATAAAAATACAGAACGGCTGTTAGTAGATTGACTCTTTTATGAATTTGACATCGCCTTGAGCGAGGAAATGCAGGTGATTTGAACCACTTCGCAGATCAAAGATGCTGGATCAGTAAGTAAAAAATAAAAAAAAAAACACAGCTCAAATATTACTTTCGTCTTCATCGCTTTCTCCTTCTGTCCAATCCCAAACTTTTCTTTCTTTTTCATCTTTTTTTTTTTTTATTAATACTGATTCTTATTTAAAGAAATGAATCTTCTTTAAGGTCAGTCGTTAAAGTCAAGATTTCCTGTTGGGCTTGTCGTGTTCAACTAGCAAAGAACACAGCCCCACTGATCAAATAATGTTTCAGTTCTACAGAAACTTTCATAGCGTTGGAAAAAAATTTTAAGAGAAATTAACAATTACCAATCTATTTTATACAGAATTCAATTTACACCACTTACATTGTTCAGACTATTATCCTCATCTTTATTGTCATATTCACGGCGTTTCGGCCATTGTAAGCTCCGGCCTTCTTCAGGTGTATACGTTGGAATTTCAAACCGAACCCTTTATTTAGTCTACGGGGGTAGATTTTTCTATTTCATCGTGTTATGCCTTTTCAGGAAATTTTTTAAAGCAATTCACCTCAGGCAAAGCGGGAGTGCCTCTAGCACGCAAGGGGTTACAGAGGATTGAGAACAAGGGTAAAGAGGCGTGTTTGAGGAAAGGATACAGAGAAGGGCGAGGAACAAGCTCAGGGTGTCAGATATCGATTGACATTACACTTGAATATGTGAAGATTATAGCCACCGGGGAAACAAGTAAGGGGAAGGGAGTTCCACAGACGGGAAGTGCGAGAGTTGAAGCTCCGACCTTCTTTAGGTGATATATGTTGAAATTTCGTACCGAACCCCTTATTTAGTCTACGGGAATAGATTTTTCTACTTCCACGTGCCATGCCTTTTTCTGGATATTTTTTTAAAGCAATTCACCTCAGGCAAAGCGGGCGTGCCACTAGTATGCAAGGGGTTTCAGAAGATTGAGAACAACAGTAAAGAGGCATGTTTGAGGAAAGGATACAGAGAAGGACAGGGAACAAGCTCAGGGTGTCAGATGTCGATTGACGTTACACTTGAATATTTTAAGATTATAGTCATCGGGGAAACAAGTAAGGGGAAGGGAGTTCCACTGTCGAGAAGTGCAAGAGAAGAAGCTGTTTGAGTAGAAGAGACGGCTACATTTAACCGTTTCGGCAGTGAAAGGGTGGGACCGAAATGCCAACCTAGTATCTCGCTTCAGTTATTTCCCTTTAGTAACTCAACTCTCCAAGTTTTTGTTCACCTCTGCTGTGGCCTGGTATTGAACTCACACCTGTTTTTGGTTAAGTCACTGGATTACTTCAACCAACGCTTTTATCCACTGAGCCATGTGTCCCTGGGAACGAAATAAAGGTTTCGGTTCGAAATTCCAATGTATATCACCTGAAGAAGGCAGGAGCGTACAACAGCCGAAACGTCATTGAATATGACAATAAAGATGCGGACAACAGTCCGAATGGTATAAATAGTGTAAATAGTTACAATACTTCATCTCAGAAATAGAGACAGATCCTGAACAAGGCCGGAACGTACAATGGTCGAAACGTCGTGAATATGAAAATAAAGATATGGAATGATGTAAATAGTGTAAATAGTTACAATACCTCATCTCAGAAATACAGACAGATCCTGAAGAAGGTCGGAGCGTACAACGACCGAAAAGTCGTGAATATAACAATAAAGATAAGGACAACAGTCCGAACAATGTAAATCATTTTTGCCTTTGCGTTTCACCCAATACGAGACCCAAGAGCCACTCAAGGTAGTGTTAGTACATAAGGTTGTTTATTCTTATCTTTTTTTTATGGTTTTTCAACCGCTTGTGTGTTATTTAAAGATCGGAATATATTAATATTCTTTTATTCTTGAGTGAATATTGCAATAACTTTTTTTTGAGAGAGAGAATAATGATTTTTTCCGGATACAAGCCCTACTATTTGACCCATAGCTGGAGAGAGAAGATGGATTTATACCCTTCCCAAGAATATTTGCTCCTAAGTGAATGTCACGTACTCGGCTGAAATTCGAAATCGGCTCTCCTCTTTCGCTCTCTGTGTCGCTATCCATTTCACCACCTACACATACACTAAATGATATCGTCGTAGGAGGGCGAAGTAGGTGCAGATTATGAGGATACGGTTAATCCTAGACTTGAAGAGATTAAGATTAAGAGTCTGTTCTATATAGTATCGGTCTCTTGGGAAGAAGCTGTCCGGATGGAACTTCCTTCATCCCAGAGGAATACGAAGGGAATAAAGGGGGTTCATCCATGTGCGTATGGCATGGTAGATCTTAGTTGTAAATGTCGGGACTGGTGGAACAAGATAATGTAGCTCTTCAGAATATTTTTATGGATATAGCGATAGATTAACGAAGGTCTTGCGATGTTGTGTCTGTAAAGTGGAAAATAATTCATCGGCTACAAGGCCGCGTAGTCACTTTTGAGCACCAGCCTAGAAATGGCAGCAATAATTCATTTTAGTCTAATCTGATTCTTGTAAAGATGAAGCATAACAAAAGAACACTATCAAAGCTGAAAAGTGAGATTGTGTAGCTCCAGTACAGATATGGCAGCAATATTTAATTTTGGTCTAATTTGATGCTTGCAAAGATGAGGCATAACAGGAGGACTCTATCAAAGCTGGAAAATGAAGATTGTGTAGCTCCAGTACAGATATGGCATCAATACTTCATTTTTGGTTTGATCTGATTCTTGTAGAGAAAGAACAGGCCAAGAGGTGTCAGGTACTTTCAGAAGCTGTATAAAGAGCTGATTATTGTCTCAACGTCTTTAGTAATGTATCATATAGATCAATTCCACTTGATATCTGAGATGAACCCTTAATCCCAAATGAGGCTCAAGGCAAGGAGCTTCCTTGCAAACCATCGGTTTGGAAATGTTAGGGGTTCATTTAACAGTACCTCTTTCATCAACAGGGTACCCTGAAATACACAAATGCAATGTGATTTGATAACTACTAAGTACATAGAACAAATCTGATTCATGTATGTTATCAATTACATTTGTAATATATATCTTTAAATTGTTAGGGGACTTTATGGACACCCTGTATATTCACAAAGTCAACAAATAAATTCTCTAACCCAGTCAAGTAGCATCGTAAATGATCGCAGAGCTCAAATACTGACTCTGGTAGTTTCAGAAATTTTTAAATGATGGATATTTCAAAGTGTTGGTGATATCCGACTTTTTCATTTTGCCCGAGCAAAAAAGAAAATACTGATGGAAAAGTGTCGAGCGAGTGATTAGATCTGATCAGTATTGTAATATCGTATGCAAATTAGATAGACAAGTATAAATAGAGAACAATGGCAAACATAAATATTGGCTATATAAAAAACATGGTTGCTATTCAGTTTACAGAGATGAATTGAATCGACGACTTCTGCTTTATTTAATGTAAAATATAAGAATTATATTAAAGAAAATTTTTAAAAAATATTGCTTTTATGGCAAATATGTTTCTATCTTCTTTTTTTTTTTAATCTGATTTTTTGTTTAAAGAGTTCATGTTTCCTTATGGGCATGCGTATATACATCTTCCGGTTGAATGGTATCTTTTTGCTAATTTCCTCGAAACGAAAATTAAGGTAATTTTTTTAACAAGTTTTGGTTTTTGACAATCGTACAAATGGTAAACAACTTTTTTTACACCAAATTTTCTTTTCTTTTAATTAAATTTTCTTTTAATTTATTTTGTCTATTCAATTTTACTTACTATTAAAAATGAATTATAAACTTTGCATTATGTTATTAAATGCATAATTTTCGTTACACGTTTCATTAATTTAATATTTGCCAATAAATATTTGTTTCAATGGTTCCCATTGAAGTCTCACTCTATCCAAATATCGTCATTTTGAAAGAGATAATCTTATTCAAAGTTTTTTTTAAATCGTTAGAAAAATCAAAAACGTGACAAAAGTCAACGGTTTATAACAATGTACACTATTTACATTATTCGGACTATTGTCCTCATCTTGACGCCATATTTATTATAACGTTTCACGTTATACGCTCCAATATAATCAAAAGGTGATTGGAATGTCGAACTGAAGAAATATTTTCGGTCACTGGGGTAGACTGTTCTAGTTCCATGCCATGTTTAATGAATGTCAGTTATAAGTTATCTCCTGTTAATTTCCCTCTACAAGTTCTCCACTGCCTTAACCGGGTATTGTCACTGGATCTAACCAACGCCTTTAGCATCTGTGCCATGTATTCTATTTGTTTACATTTGGATACACTTTGAGCAGATATGAATTTACGTGAGAGAATCATGGAAAATTGTAGTTTAAAAACAGTAAAATCGACCTTGCTAACCGAACGCTCCTCTGTGGCCAAATCGGTTAAAGGCACGTCAGGCTATATGACGGTTCCGTATAGTATACAGGTTCGATTCCTGTCGGATGACGCATATTTTCTATGACAATTTCTCGGACATTCAGGCCGGTAAATGTTGTTTAATACTGTTTATTATAAACAGAGCATTTACTTAAATAAAAAGAATGTATAAACATAAAAATGTCTTAAAAATAATTGTCGGACTTTGTCCAGTTCATAATGTGTGACGTCTTTTGTTTACATTTGGATATGCCATGAGCAGATATGAATGTACGTGAGAGAATCATGGAAGATTGTAGTTTAAAAACAGTAAAATCGACCTTGCTAAAACTGAACACGCTCCTCTGTGGCGAAATCGGTTAAAAGCACGTCAGGCTAAATGACGTTCCGGTATAGGATACAGGTTCGATTCCTGTCGGAGGACGCATATTTTCTATGACAATTTTCGGACATTCATCCGGTAAA